GATTACCCTTCTACCTCACTGCTCAGGTAATCATTTCAGCCACTATCCTCAGTATTTATACCTTTCGTTCCCAGTCCTTCTCCGCCACTTTCCCTATCCTTGCAGTGTACTCATCATCTATCCTCAGGGTCTCTCGCAGTCGCTCTCTGTGTTGTCCTTGTCGTCGTCGATTTCCAACATGCCTTCAATCCGGAGCTACTTTCATCATATTTTATGATTCTGTTCGTTGATTGATTTCGTTACCCTTGTTTCCATATATGTTCATTCTGTGTTCGCGTTGTCTGATATGATTTCAAGTTTTAGAAATTGGTGGTAGCATGTTTGAAAAAATTTCAGACATTCGAACTCTTTCGTTTGATCTTTCTTACTTGCTCTTATGATCATCATTACATCATCCACAAAACTCATATCGTGGATAAGTTTCCCATCAATTCCAGTCTGCGCACACCATCTGTACTCGTCAAACGTGCATACCATGTTGGCAATGGGTGGGCTAGAGCCCTTCCCCATTGGTATCCCCATTACTTGGCATAATAATGTTCCTTGTACTTTGAAGTTTGAAATAGGTTCCATTTGCTTTTCCAAAGTTCATGTACTTTCCTCTCATCTTGTAACAAAAGTGGGTTTTCCGTTTTTCTTTCGCCGTTTTCATCATCCATTGCATGACGTTTAAGATATGTGTGTGATCGAGATTCGAAAACATATCTTTAACGTCGTATGTGGAACAGATTATCGTAGCCATATCCCTGTATGTTTCTTTTGCTACTTGATTGCATTTCTTTAGTCTGGGTAGTAGTTGGTTCGTTCCTTTTAGTGAGAAACCAACTTTTAATGCTTGACACATAAAGTTGATAGCTCTTGATAGTACCTTCGATGTTTTCAGAGATGATTCCTTATATGTCGACACAATTGGTCGGCGTCTGGTGACGTCCTTATTTTTTGGAATTGTATACGCATTTTTGTATGATCCCTGTTCATCCCATTCTGCGATTTTCTTCAGCCTACATCCATGATACATATTTTTTTTTGGCCAATTGAGTGATCTCAAATTCCGTTTGTTGTATAATTTCGTAGTGATTCGATTCCAGAAAGAATTTTCGGGTCTTCTCGTACCAGATTTTACGGCATTCCACAAAAGTTTCTCCATGATTTTTGTCCAATGGTGATAGGATATATTGTGTTTTTTACTTCCCATACTTCTCATATGTGAAGAAAAATCTCCATATCATTTTTATTTTCGATGCAAGTAGAGACATCTATTTGAATTTATTTTTTCTTCCTTAGTTGTCGTGGTATACTTGCAATGGTAGTAATGATTGTCCTTTTAATTTTTTCCTTTCCAATTTTTTCGTTCATATAGGGTACGTTTTTTGCATTCCACAAGAGCTGATTTTTCGTGATTTCACTTAATCTGCATGCAATGTAGTTCTCAATTTTTGAAAGTCGGGATACTGCACAATTACAGTCCGGTGTTTGTGTAAGCACCTGTCTGTGATTGTGTAATATTTCCCGGACTGTCTTTCCCGTACTAACTAGTTGCTCAATTTTCGTTGATAGCCTGTATATCTGCTCCCACTTCTGTGTCGTGGTGAGGTCGCCTCATGCTGAGGTGTCTTTTACCTTCCCGACAGATCTTCGGCGCTCGAAGATGTGTCAGATGAGTCATACTCATCACTCCCGCTTGATCTTGTACTAAGACTCTCATAATCATCCTCACTTGTGTCGCCGCCAATTGTATTGGACACTTTGATGTTATCTGGATCTGGCATGATCTGTGTTTCAAGATCAGAATCCCGGTTGAAATCCCGCCCCTTGTAGGCGATCAATCCAGGAACTTGCCTCAATGCCAAGATCACTTGCGGCTTGTTCTTGTACCTGATGTCATGCATCTTGCATAAGACATTCAGGTCCGTGTAGTGAAGATGAAGGAGTTGCATGTCCGTCATCGGTTCGACCCCGAAATTAATGCTCCGTTTTGCCTTCGACTTCGCTGCCGACACGTTGCGATTAATCTTCGTTCGTCCTCTTTTGGGGTGTGGAGGGATTACGCGTCCCAATCTGCTTTTGTTCGGTGCGCTTCTGCTTGACATGCTTCGGCTTGGAATGCTGTGGCTACCATGTACTGAAGTTGGTAGTCCAGCCATTGTCCCCACATATCCGTTCGGATGAACCGAAGACGACACGATCGGAGTGCAGGTACGAGTCGGTTCATTGATCTTCTGCAACGCGCCCTTCACAACCGCCAGATCATACTTTAGTAGCTTCAGGTTGTTGACCTCCTTCTACACTTCCGATACCATCCTTTCTACTTTATCTTCCGCCTCTGCATTCTTCTGACCGGTTGCACTTGGACCAGCTTGATTCTGTCCCCCTTGGTTCATCTCTGTCGGCTTCAGTGCTTCATCAATGATGGACTTGAGCGCGTCCGGAGTTAGCTCAGGCTTCTTTGCAGTGTCTTCCTTGTTCAGAGGAGCTGACTGCTTTTCACTTGTCTTTCGTGTGAGTTGCTCCAGTGTCTTGATAACTTTATCCATCTCCCAGCGGAGCTTAAAAATTTCTTCCCTTAGATCCATCGTAAACCACGCTCGATTTCCCGGTGGGGGAAAATCATTCCGTCTTTGCTCCCACAATGGTCTCGAGAACCACCTTGGATATTTTGACTCCGTCCTTCTTCTCCATGACGATGGTAATCTTGACTTATGTCTTCTATCTCTTGGAGTTTTTTATCTCCCCCTTCTTGAGCGCTTCCTCCCTTGAGATCCGGAAGATGATGATGAGTGTTTGCGCCGCCTCCTGTCCGATGATGATCGAGAACGCGACATCTTCCTTGAAACTTGGGAACGTCAGGTAGGTGGTCTTCGTACTTGAAATGGATAAAAAACCCCACAACGTCGTTGATCGTCTTCAATACACACCAGATAAGTAAAATAGAATCTTCAAAAATCGCTGAGTAATCTCCACGCTATAGTAATCTCCAACAAATCGCCACTATGATATCATGAAAGAAAAGGGTTACGAATGATGAGAGAGAGATAAAGACAGTGAATGTAAAATGGAGAGTGACAGGTCTATACAGTGTCAATCATCGTGGGTACCGCCCACAAGTTCTAAGCACCGTGCATAGAGATAAACACATGCAAATGTAGACAAAACGTTCGAGGTTTTACTTTCACAGCATATACGTGCAAATGTAGACAGAACGTGCGAGGTTTTACTTTCACAGCATACACGTAATGTCCATGGCATGCGACACCTGTCACGATTACCCTTCTACCTCACTGCTCATGTAATCATTTCAGCCACTATCCTCAGTATTTATAYCCTTCGTTCYCAGTCCTTCTCCGCCACTTTCCCTATCCTTGCAGTGTACTCATCATCTATCATCAGGATCTCCCGCAGTCGCTCTCTGTGTTGTCCTTGTCGTCGTCGATTCCCAACATGCCTTCAATCTGGAGCTACTTTCATCATATCTAATGATTATGTGCGTGCTACTCACTTACTCTCCTCTCTGTCGGAGTTCCGTCTTACTGTGGTACTTGCCTATAACTCCGCTGTTTTTTTATAATGAATCGAATCTGGCCTTGTTTGTTGTTCTGTTTTTTGTTTACTTTCATGACCGTGGATTTTCCTTCATTTCCAAGTGAGTATTTTTTTTTTATTGGTTCGTTCCTACTACTTTAGGTCTTTCATCTTCTATCTGTTTCGTATGTTTGGAAATGTGAGCGACACTGTTACGTCGTTATATCTGCAGAAATTCCGTGATATTGCGGGGTACTTAGTCATGTATGTTTCTTTTTCGTCCCTGAAAATTTATTTTCATTCCGTGCAAAATTATATTTTTGTTTTTGATTTTTGATTTTTCGATTTGTGATTTTAGCTTTATATTCCGAGTCGTGTGAATTTCTTAACGTATTTTATTCCGGACTTTCAGTTTTATATCCGTCGATTTGGTGCTTCTTGCTTTTCCAGGTACTCCTTAAATTTATTTCGGACGTCCGCGTCCCTACAGTTTTGGATGAACGCAAGTATCGCGGCGCGGGTTATCCTTCATGGGTAATCCATGAGTCGAAGTTCCCGTCCGAACAGGTCAATCACGGACGGTAGATCCGCCATCTCGTATGTGTTAGCTACCATTCGATGAAAAGTTCCGATAATCGTCAAGGTCTTGGTTCTCTCAGAACCCGCACTCCAGAAGTGATGCAACGTCATGTGAGAGAGAGAGAGAGAGAGAGAGAGAGAGAGAGAGAGAGAGAGAGAGAGAGAGAGAGAGAGAGAGAGAGAGGTTGAATGACAAAATTGAAATATAGGTCAAATT